CGGGAGATTGCAGCGTCAGAAGACACGGCGGCACGACAACAGCGGCGACGAGGGGCACGCAGCGACTGAGCGACCGAACGCGCCGCCGTCGCCAGCTGCCTGAGGGCTGGCCGTCGTGAGAGGCACGGGCCACAGGTGAAGCTTGCAAGGTGATTTGTTGGAGGCGCCCAGCACTCTGACGCTGTCAGCCGTTGCGCGCTCTCGACCCGCCTTCCACGCTGCAGTAACTTTCAATGCGCATGGTTCATTACGTAGCGTTCCGGAGAGACACCGTCGACCGTGTTTCATGTCACACGAGCACGTGGCGGTGCACTCGTGACAGCCACACCCAGAGAACGAACCACGGCTACCGCGTCGCAGTGAGTACCAGCCGAGGCCGGGGTTGCGGTGCGGTGCGTCAGGGCTGAAGCTATCGTCTACCGTTAGTCAGGAACTGAGCGGAACATGCCATCCATCGGCGCATCCGTACGACCATCCACGTAGCCATTCTAATACCCACGTAGCCACATTTCCTCGTATCAACAATTTCAGACTCCAGCTCCTTTCGCGATCTCCGCCAAACTTACCGTCGAGTTCACCGCTTCAACGGTGTAGACACATTTCTCTGGTTTCCATGTCTCCTTCTACTAATCCGTGGTGGGGCAGCGGCTACTTGCCTAGGTAAGTAGCAAGCAGGGCCAGCCTCCTCACGTAGGCCGTAAAGCGCGACATGTACACCCACCAGGAGCACCATCATCAAGAGCAGGAACTGTTCTCCTGAAAATCTCCAATTCTTGACGTGGGTCAAGATGGCAATTTGTCAGCGTCTCAACTCTGCCATAGGAGTGCCTCGAGCGGGGCATGTTCTCCATTCCCGGCCTCGTGAAGCTTGCCATTCCCTCGCAGGCACCTTCAAAAGCTGGGGGTCGGCGTCCGAGGAGCCCGCACACCATCGCAGCATTTCAAGCACTAGAGCCTCCCCGCGCATCCATGTCCTGGGCCTGGGAAGTGTAGGCACTTTCACAGCTCACTCGCTTGCCGAGATACCCGCAAGGCCAGTAGTAAACCTGCTGCTACATCGTCCTTCTCTCATGAACGAGTACCTAAGAAACGGGAAGAGACTTCTACTGCAGACGTGCGAGGGCCAACAGATTGCCCGAACGGGTTATGACGTGGAAGTATTGTACGGAAAAGAATGGCACACGGTGCAAGAGCTGTGCATAGCTGGGAATGCTGAGGTACTACAGCTACCAGGACCCTCAACTGACGAAATTATCAACGATCTTGTCGTATGCGTCAAGTCTACGCAGACTGTGGCAGCCCTCCAACCTCTTCTACCCCGAGTCTCGCGCACATCAAATATCACATTCCTGCAAAACGGGGCAGGCATGATAGAAGACGCAAATATGTTCTTGTGGCCCGATCCACACACGCGACCAAATTACATTACGGGTGTGATTTCCCATGGTATCACTCTGAACGGGCCCTTTGATGTCACCCACACAGGGCCTGCAGCAACATCGGTAGGCCCCGTCCCGCGAGAAGACGGCGATATATCACAGATACCCTCACCTCTCTTGGAAATCCTTCCTCGCGCACCTCGTCTGAACTGCCAGGCTTACCCATGGCCCACCATACTCCAGATACAACTAGAAAAGCTTGCCTGTAACGCTCTCAGCAACCCTATCTGCGCGCTCGAAGATGCCGTAACAGCATACATTCTAAGCATCCCAGAAACCAATACGATGCTCATGCAAGAGATCTCGTCTGTCATCCTCGCTTTACCGGAACTACAGGGCGTAGAGGGAGTAAAGGAAAGGTTTTCAGCGAAAGCCTTGCATACTACTGTTATGGATATAATCAACAAGAACAGAGCGACGACCGTTAGCATGGTATGGGATATGAGGCATAGGAGAGAGACGGAAATCAGATACATCAATGGCTACTGGGCAAGGCGAGGACGTGAAGTGGGTGTGAGAACGCCGCTGAACGACGAGTTGGTAGAGAGGGTGCAGGCGATGACGAAAGACAGACTGCGAGAGCCAAAGTTGTGATACGAACATTCGGTTGCATGCTTAGAAAAGCTTTGACATTGACCATTTTTCGCATTTGCTGCCACGCAGGTGATGATGCATAGTTACTAAGAACATGTTGGCAAAGTGGTTCCGCTACCATGGAATTCCCACGAAGCTAAGGATGCGCCCCACTTCCAGATGTCTCGACTTCTTCACCCATATCGATCGCGTGTTTGATGCGAGACAATTCCATTGAGGATTGGTCTTGTTGCGAAAAATGTCGTCGTCAAGGAGACTTGGAGCTGCGAGTGCACGCATCCGGTAGCAATACTATGCCGCAGACTTGGTAGCTCACGCCACCTGGGCTGACAAACGGCGTGGTATGCTGCGCGTCGCGTTACTATGGTGCAGCATCCCACATGCACCCGATGCACTCGCACGAGACAGGCCCAACAATGGCGCTGGCCGGTAAAGACCGGACATGACCTCATTGCTGTAAACTTCGCGGACCCTTAAAGGTAGCTGCGCCCAACAGCCTGCCATCACCACATCAAACAAACTACTTTCTTAGCATCCAAAGCTTCATCTCTCTGACAGCTTGGCAACATGGCGCAAGATCTACGATCGCAGGACATCAAAAACCCGATTGACGTCGCAGAGGTAAGTCATGGGCTGTACACGCGTGTGAAAGCGCGCTAGCTGACAAGAACCCCAGTACCTGTTCCGTCGACTTCAGCAAGTCGGCGTTGAGTCCGTCCATGGCGTTCCAGGAGACTACAACCTCGTCGCACTCGACTACATCCCCAAAGTCGGCCTGAAATGGGTCGGCAACTGCAATGAGCTGAATGCTGGTACGTGGAGCTTGTTCTTGCGTTCGGGCTCTCAGCGGCTCGCTTGCGGGAGCGACCGAAGTCGATCCGTCTGTCTCATGCGATAGGTGCTGACGATCATTACAGGTTACGCCGCAGACGGCTACGCAAGAGTCAAGGGCATTTCTGCATTGGTAACGACCTTCGGCGTGGGTGAATTGTCCGCTGTCAATGCCATCGCCGGAGCCTACTCGGAATACGTCCCAATCGTCCACATCGTCGGCTACCCATCGACTGTATCTCAGAGAAACGGAGCGCTGCTGCACCACACTCTTGGAAATGGCGACTTTACGGTCTTCTCGCGCATGTCCAAGGAGATCTCGTGTGCTGTCTCGATGCTCAACAGCCAGCACGAAGCGGCCATGCTGATCGACAACGCCATTCGGGAATGTTACCTGAAGTCGAGGCCCGTCTACATCTCCTTGCCTAGCGACATGGTAACGAAGAAGGTCGACGGCGATCGCCTCAACACTCCGCTTGATCTGGAATACCCGCAAAACGACCAAGAAGCCGAAGACTACGTCGTTGACGTGGTACTGAAGTATCTGCACGCGGCAAAGAACCCCGTCATTCTTGTGGATGCATGCGCTATCCGCCACCGAGCACTGAAGGAAACTCACGAGCTCATCAAGAAATCTGGAATACCCACATTCGTCGCCCCAATGGGAAAGGGTGCGGTAGACGAGACTCTGCCGAACTATGGTGGTGTTTACGCCGGAGACGGTTCAAACGCTGGTGTGCGTGAGCGCGTTGAGTCGTCCGACCTCGTGCTCAGCATTGGTGCTATCAAATCCGATTTCAACACTGCAGGCTTCACCATCCGCATGTCACAGCTCACGACTATCGACCTACACAGCTACGGATGCAAAGTACGATACTCGGAATACCCTGGTGTTAGAATGAACGGCGTGCTTTCCAAAGTCACAGCCAAGCTGGGAAAGCTGAACATCGAATCTGGACCCAACCCGAACAACAACATCCCAGACAAGGAGACTTCATCGACAGAACCAACCATCAAACACGCCTGGTTCTGGCCAAAGCTCGGTCAGTGGTTAAAGAAGGATGACGTCCTCATTACCGAGACCGGTACATCCAACTTTGGCATCTGGGAAACCCGCTTCCCGGCTGGCGTCAACGCCATCTCACAAGTTCTCTGGGGTTCCATCGGCTACGCAACCGGTTCCTGCCAAGGCGCTGCCCTCGCCGCGAAAGAGTCAAACATCAAGCGCACTATATTATTCACAGGTGACGGTTCCTTCCAACTTACCGCTCAAGAAGTCTCCACTATGATCCGCAACAAGCTGGCTCCCATCATCTTCGTCATCTGCAACAAGGGCTACACGATCGAACGACTCATCCACGGATGGGAAGATTCCTACAATGACGTCCAGGAATGGAAGTACAAGGACATTCCCCGCGTCTTCGGCGCTGAAGAAGGCAGTGTACTCACATACCGAGTGGAGACGAAGGAGGAGGTTGAAAAGCTGTTCCAAGATGAAGAGTTTAGCAGTGGCGAGACGCAGAAGATGCGGTTTGTGGAGTTGGTCATGCCGTGGGACGATGCCCCGGCGGCTCTGAAGGCAGTTGCTGCTGCGGCGGCTAAGACAAATGCTAGTGCGGAGTAGACAATGGATCCAAGGAACGACAGGTAATTGATCATGTATCAGCAAGGCGGAGACAATAGGCTATGGCATTACGTAGGGTTCTCTTCTCTTATACGAATTATGACAATATGACTTTCCTAATGTACAAAATTTCCATTGATACTTGCATGTCGTGTTCATAGTACCAAGTTATGTCTACTTCGTCTTATACCGTCTCGACGCAGGCCTCCAATACCCCTGGTGAGTGGAAAAGAACCGACTCTTCTTCTGAGCCTCCGTCGGCTCATATGTCTCCTTCTCGGGAGGATCTGGAAGCTCACCATCAACCCCATCTACCGCTGTATACGCCCAGGTCTCCTCTATATGCCCAGAGCATTTTCCACAGAACTTCATAAACACCCGATTCCAACACGAACACGAACAGCACCAATCACCGTCGTACTTGGCCCAGCACGGCCACGGTCCCTCTATACCCGGGCCGGGTTCTTTCACGTGGACCTTGTCCTCCCGGACACCATCACACGCAACGCCACCTACTCCTCCCACCTTGCCTCGGCAGGCGAACGTATACTTGCCGTTCCAAAAGCCGCAACGGCAGAGCCAGTCTTCTGCTCGAGGTATGTATGGGCCGGGAAGGCGGGCTGCTTTCTTGGCGGCGCGCTTTTCATCCCGTGCTGCATTAGCAGCGAGCTTTTTCTCCGCTACAGCGGCAGGACAGGGCTTCCTGGGGTGGTAGTCGCTACTCGCACACGATACGTGACACCCCGGATCGGGGTTCGGGTTGAGGTAGGCTGTGACGGGGCCAGGCAGGGTGGGTGCAGTCGGAGCTGCAGTTGGTACGACTCGGGGTACCTTACGGCTGGTGGCGGATTGGTCTATAGATATGTTAGTTCACCAAGTATATCAATAGGATCATTGATCAGAGAAACGTACCAAGCTGGGAGGTGTCTTCCTCCGCTTTCCTCTTCCGCTCACTCCTCGCCTTCTCCTCCTCTTCCTCTTTCTTCTTCCTCTCCTCTTCTTCTTGTTGTTGCTGCTGCTGCTTCTGCCAATTTTCAAATGTGGCATCCAGGCTCGCCGAACTCGCTTCGCTGCTCAAGTATGAGCGACAAAGGATGTCAAGGTAGCACGCCACTTCTGGATCAGCAGCGGCCTTTTTGCGCATCCCGCGCACCTCCTCACCAAGCTCTTTCATTTTGCCCGCAGGCAGGTTCTTCGCCTTTTCCAGCAGCGTGTTGAGGTAGTTGCCTTTTACGGCAGGCACCGGGGTTCCATTTGCGGACGGCATTGTGATGTATGTATGAGAGAAGAAGAATTAAACGCGTGTGATGAGAGGAGAGACTGGAGCAAAGTATGGAGGATGCGACGCTGAAGATCTTTTGAGGTGAGCGTTTGTTGTGTGTTGACACTATTCCACTGTCACTCGCGGTGAGGAGCGCCTCCTCACCGCAACGCGTCACCGTGCAATTTCACTTTCACCTCTAGAAAGACGCGAGCAAGTCCAGGGCTCTGACCTTAGGTTCATGCAATATAATACACAACCACTGCTACGTCAATACGCCGTACTTATCCTGGAGTCTCCGCATCACCATCCAGTGAACTAGATCCCGCGCCGCAGTTGCATCTTCCAAGCTATCATGACCTTTATTGCCTTTGGTCTGAATGTCCGTGTCCAGGTATTTCTTTAGCAGTGTCTTCAACGCCAGATCACCCGTGCCCTTTTTCTTCTTCTTCTTGGGCTCACCCTCAATGGGGTTGGTCGAGTCGCCCAGTGTCTGCGCATCGGTCGCTGGGGTGAGCATGCTACTCGTCGCTAGTCCTGTGACCTCCAGAAGACACTCCTCCACCCTTCTTGCTGCCTCTTCACTAAGCTCTTTTTCTCTGGCTTCGATTGCCTTCTTCTCCTGAATGATCTTGTGCTCTACGACGTAGGAGTCTACGACCTTTGTGTGTATCCACTTCAGCGCCTTGAGGTCATTGTGAACGCTGTGTCCAACAAGAATAGTGTCTGGACCGACAAACTTCCACAACAGTTTTCTCGCCCCAGTCTAAAATTGGTGTACAAAGTCAGTACATGTCTTCCCTCAGCTTGTTCACGTAGTGACTTGCCTTTCCCTTCAGCGTGGTCTTCTCTCTTACGGCTTCGTTCATTTGATCCCACGTAACGCCCGACCACTTTGTGTTGAGATGTTGCATTGGTTGATCAGGCTTGACAAGGTTGTTAATGAGCACTTCTCCGGTTAAGTAATCGATGGCGCTCAGGCGAATGAGCTCAGAGTCTCCACTCCTGGCTGTTCCCATCTTCAGAATAGGAGTGAGAAGTCAGCATGTCTCGCACACATTCTGTAGAGCTAGAACATACCTCGCAATCGATTGCTACGGCAAATTTGGCGTTCATCCTGCGGTCCGCATCCCAATGACGAAAAGGTGGAGTCGGTTGGAATTGATGTAGGCGTTCGAGCTCACCTGGTCGATATTCGCGTATCCTGTGCTTGTCGGAAGTCCTACATGGCTGGGCCTCCGAGACGTGTTTTCCGCAACACAACCAGCACTAACAAGATTAGTTGGGTTAGACAACGTCGAGTCAGCCTGCGCTCACCTTTGTCGCGCGGTCGACTGGCGCTGAGTGGTGGAGACACTCTACTGTGCAATACTGAATTCCAGAGCTACCGTTCTCGTATGGTACGATCATACTTGGCAATGTCTTGTAGGGTGTGTCAGGTGGATGTGAGAGAAGCTGTTGGCTACGGCGCGTTATGGCCTGTTGCAGACCCTTGCTGAGCTGTTGGATAGCTGTCGGAACTTTAGCAATACTCTTAAAATCAATGTGCACAGTCCAGGCACTGAGCTTGTACCAACTTTGATTGCATTTACTGCATCTTCGTTTCAGATGAATCTCCTCGTCTGTCAACTGAGCAAAGTTGTAGCCATGTTTTCGCAGAGCATGTGTGGGTTCTAGCAGGCTTAGAAACTCTCGAATGTAGTAATCCCCGGGCGGTAGTTCGAGTATTGAAGGTGCTTGGCCCTCGCATGCTTCGGGTGGAGGGGGATATGGGACGACATCGCTGGGTTGGGTTGGTTCCCTTGCTCCAGTGTTCATGATCGAAGAAAAGTCTAGAAATCGGCTTCTTGTGAAAGTGTCTGACTCAGGTTGATGTGAAAGATGCTGAGACGGGAGTAGTCCAGGTTTCGATACTAGGACGCGTTGTTTGTCTGCTCAGATGAACCTAACGCTTTCCTCTAAGGCTACAGTCCAAGTGACATGCAGGGTAACTACCGGTGTTTGAAATGTATTGCCGGAGAGTCCTGCGAGGAGTGGCAGACAAAAATGGTGACAACGGTGGTGATACCGAAGAGTCTACGTGATGGAAAAGTGGGGGAAGCGGAACCGGGATGGCGCGTCGACAAGGGTAAGTGCGCTAGCATCGTGTCGCGTCTTCCAACAACGCCGCCAGCTGAGGTGCATTCACCAACAAGGTCATAACTACATGCTCTTCGTGCTCCATCCTACAGATCCTTGGGGAATGAGTGGATACAGGCGCTAACGTTATGTAAGATGTTGGAAACTGCGCCGTGTTTTATCCCGACACAGCAGGTAGGGGCTCCGCCACCTGGGCAGCCAGCTGGATCCAGCTACTCATTGTAGTCTCCAACCCGCGCTGATATGCATGACGTCATGTGCCGCCGGTAGATGGTAAATCAGCCTAATTCAGTTGATGTTCTATCAACTACCGTCGCAGCCTCGGTAGCGCTATACAACAGTATAACTTCCCAAGTCATGCAGAAGCGTCGAAGCCTCATAGACAACCGCCCAGACAGTGCGCAAACATGATCAAACCCACTGCATTCAACGTCCTCGTTTTCAGCAAGACCACGGGCTACCGCCATGACTCTATCCCAGCTGGTATCCGCATGTTCCACAAGTTAGCCAGCGATACGAACCTCTTCAAAGTCACAGCCACTGAAGACGCCTCCGTGTTTAACTCGTCTTCTCTCACGCAATATGAAGTCATCGTCCTCCTGCAAAACATCGGCAACGACATCTTCATCTCATCCGAACTAGACGCTTTGAGGACCTGGGTGAAGGATGGCGGCGGTATCGTAGCTATCCACGGCGCAGCTGCAGCTATGCAAGGCAACGAGTACTACACGAACTTGGTCGGCGCAAGTTTCGACATGCATCCCGATCCTGAGCCCGGTACCATTGTCCCTGAAGAGTCTGGCCTGGAACACGCGATCATGAACTGCTGTGGTGGACGTGAGGGCTGGAAGGACGAATGGTATAACTTCCACACTCATCCAAGAGAAAACAAGAACCTCCAGATCTTGCTCAAAGGTGATCCGAAGACGTTCCCAGGAGGTAAACACGGAGATGATCATCCGTTGGTATGGTGTCAAGAGTTCGAGGGTGGAAGGATATTCTTTACGTCTTTGGGTCATTTTGATGAAGCGTACGAGGATCCATGGTTTGTTGGACAGGTCGAGAGAGGGTTGCTGTGGGTATCAAGGAGAACGGAGGTTTGAAGTAAGGGCTCTGGAATTGCTCGTGTCTTTCTCAAGGTGAAAGGGAAATTGTAAGTCTAGGTAGAGTGTGGTGAGGGGCTCCTGGCGTCACTCTAGTCTGTTAGAGCGAGGGTTAATGTGGTAGGCTAGAGGATGTTAATTCTTTTTTAATGCTTTTATATTAAACTACTAGAATAATGTATATGTAGAACGCACCTCTACTTGTCACTAATGTACTACATCTAGTCTAATGTATACCTCAAAGTCGTCTGAGACCGTTGCCATTCCTGTTCCTACTCCATCGCTTTGAGTCTGGTGGCGGAGTCAAAGCGCATAAACATCGTGGACCCAATATCGAGATGCGCGCCATTGTATCTAGGTAGATGCAATCAAGTAGAGTCGTACGCCTAATCTAAGATTTGTTTACTCCGCACTCACTTCCCACCGCCGGGTTCACCTTCACTTGTTCATCCCATACAAACGGATGGACATCGCCTCGCATTCACTATTTGATCACCGCTGCAGCATCGTTATACCTAAGGTATTGTTTTGATTTAAATCAAGTATATGTGATATTTAATTCTCAAATTCTCCATCAAGCAGTCTGCTATGGTTGTCCACAGCGTAACCATCCTACTCGCTGTGGGCGAGGATAAAGGCCATTGCCCCGAGTTCGAATCTCGGTAGCAGACATCTGCAGGGAGCCCTTGTGGCCGTTGACGACCCTGTGGAGCTTGATCGTAGGAGCCTTAGAGAGCCAGTTGACGACCTACATCTTTTTTTGCCTTAGCAACGAACATCACCTTTTTGCATCCATCTTTTCACTTTTCCACCAACACACTTAAGCAACTTGCGTTCTTGCTAGGCAGCCCAACACGAAAGAACTTTTGCATCCCTCTTTTGACTTTCACACAACAAAAGCAATATACAATTACAACTCAGTCTTCTCAGCATCAACATTCAAGTCCCAATCAATGCCACCATCTTTGCCATAACGCTGCTCCAGCCATTCGTTGCACTTTCTAAAGTGGCCGTTGTCAAACTACACATCGTTAGCGCTTGAATCATGATATGTCGGACGGCGCTACTTACGAAGCCTCGCGCCGCACTCAGCGGGCTAGGATGTACGCTCTTCAGCACAAGATGCTTGTCAACCGGAATGCCCTTAGTCCTCTGCTGCGCCGGACTGCCCCAGGCCAGAAAGACGACACCATTTGTCCGCACCTTGGCCACAGTATCAATGACCTTCTGCATAAGCAGCTCCCAGCCCTTGCCCGAGTGTGAGTTTGCTTCACTGCGACGGACGGTTAAGCAGGTGTTGATGAGCAGGACACCACGATCCGCCCATGGCGTCAGAAGACCACCCTTGTTCGGGGGTCGCTTGTAGTCTGGGTACTCCTTCTCGAGGGCCTTGTAGATATTCATGAGCGAAGGGGGCGCAGGGTTCGGTGGACGAATGGAGAAGCAGAGACCGTGGGCTTGGTTGGGGCCGTGGTATGGATCTTGGCCTGTGATGACGACCTTGACGGTGTTGAGGGGTGTGTGTCGCGACCTGACCAGTATTAGTCTTCGTTACTCAAGCTGGCACCCGGAAGATATGGGAGATCGCACCAGGAGTACACGTCCTTCATCGGCGGGTATACAGTCTTCCCACTGTCCAGCTCCTTCTTCAGGAACCTCTTCAATTCGAGGAATTGGGGTGTCAGCAGCACATCCTTGACATGCGGCAGCCAGCTCTCGTGTAGCGTGTCGAGCTCAAGTTGTAGCAGCTCTTTCTGCTCGTCT